GCGCACCCCCTCTTGGCGTCAGGCCACGCCTGCCACGCCCTGCGACCCCAGCGTGGATAGAGACTGCGCTCAGGGACCACTCCCTGCGAACCGCGCACCCTGTCTGGGTTGCGAACAAGCCACACCTGACACGCCCGAGCCTGGCGTGGAAAGAGACCGCACTTGGGGACCATCCCTTGCGCACGCCCTCTGTTGCCGAGAGGGCCACAGGTGCTTTGAGATGGCCTCTAAGATGGCGCAATATGGTCCAAATTGGCTCAAGATGGCCCCATCAGACCGGCGACATGTGATGAAAATATTATGCAACAGGACAGGAGAGGGGCTAGACCAGGTTACGACGAAGGCCGGATCGCCCTCCAGGCCAGAAAGGCCCTCAGCAAGCCGCTCAGTTCGAGGCCGCACCAAGACTACACCAGACAACGAAGGTCGCACCGCCCTCTGGGCCAAATTTGCGGTGCTACACCAGGATACGATGAAGGCCGTCCCCCCTCTGGGCCACGCAAGCGGGGCTACACCAGGTTACAACGAGGGCTGGCGCGCCCTCCAGGCTAGACATAAGGGGCTACACCAAGCTACAATGTCACATCGGCATTCTCCTTGGTACCGAGGTATATACAAGTGGCATCGATCGGCATCCATGGAATTTTCTCCAGGGGGACAAATAAAAAGAGTTATTCGGATGCGAATTAATGGCAGTCGGGATCCGGGGGGGGAGGGGGGGTGGTCATCATGTTTTGAACCGGTGTTGGACATTATGTATGTATGTATGTGTATATATATGTATGTATGTGCAGATATGTATATATATATAAATATGTATGCATGTATCTATACGTGTATGCATGTATGGATGCATGGATGCGTGCATGTATCTACGTATGCGTGTAAGTACGTGCGTACGTGTGTACGTACGTGTGTTGCGCGTGCTGGTGTTATCCGACTGAAGGCAGCGTCGTGGGACAAGAAAACTCTACCCGCCAACGGGATTCAAGTTCCCAGGCGAACATAATCGGGGAACGAAAAGTGACATAAACATAACAACTCGGAGGTCCGCGCGGATTTCGCGGATCGGCGCTGGGGCCCCCCGGCGGCGCCTCCGGCGGCGCCTCTGGCGCGCTCCGCGCGCCAGGGAGGGGGTCCAGCGCCGATCCGAGAAATCCGCGCGGACCTCCGAGTTTTTATGTTTATGTCACTTTTTGTTCCCCTAGAACAGGCTGCTTGGAGTCGGGCTGGGCGTTTCAGCACCCGCCTCAGCATCTCGCGAGGAGGCGATCGCCTTGGAACCTGCACTGCGTGAGCTGGCACAGGCCGGCAGGGGGAGAGCGGTAAGTTCCGCCCCTCACGGCGGGGTTCCGGCTTCACCCCCTGCCTTCCCTTGCCGGCTTGTGCCCTCTCTGTCTTTCCGAGTGTCCAATCAAACTCGACACCCCGACAAGCGGATCCATTCCGCAAACGCACTCAAGGAAAGAATCGAGCAGGGCAGGGCTATTTAGTGAATGTCCAAGGCCGTGTCATTCAGGGTCGGTGGGGGTCCTCCCTTGACCAACCCTCTTCCGCATCCCTTCTCCGCCCCGCCCCTTCCTCCTGCATCGTCTCCCCCCCCACACACACAATACCTCTCCAGAAATCGCCCGCGGACGTCCACAGACTCTGCCCATGTGGCTTCACGCTTCTCTATCCTCCTCCTCCTCCTCCTCCTCCTCCTCATCATCATCATCATCCTCCTCCTCCTCTTGCTCCTCCTCCTCCTTCCCCTCCTCCTCCTCCTCCTCCTCCTCCTCCTCCTCCTCCTCCTCTTCCTCCTACGCCTCCTCCTCGGAGGGGACCGGCTCAGGGAGGGAGACACCCAGCTGGAATCGGTGCTACATCTCGGACAGATCTGCGATAGGCCACCGATAAGCGGGCGGGGTGGGCTCTGGGACCACTATCGGCCGCGCATGAGCGATTGGGGGTCGGTGCATCCCCTCCAGAGCCCATCCCCCGCAACTCCAGTAACAACAACCTGCATAAACGTAAACTTATGGAGCTCCGCGCGGATTTCTTGGATCTGCGCGGAGCCCCCCCTACCTGACGCGCGGAGCGCGCCATGGGCGGCGCCAGAGGAGCCGCCAGGGAAGCCCAAATGCCGATCCGAGAAATCCGTGCGGAGCTTCGAAGAGTGTGTGTGTTTACGCAGCTTCTGCCTTATTCGATCAACGCTGCCTCCCATCCTCGTCCGTCTAGCCACGTCCCTCTCTCAGCCCTCCGTGCCGGGCACGACTCCCTTCAGCGAAGCTCGGTCGCAGCGAGGCGCCGACGAGGCTGCGACTTTTCTGGCCCTGCCCCGCGCCGACGGGAAAACCTACACGGAGCCAGGCGCGGGCCTGAGGGGCAACGTCATAGGGGGGACCGGTGCACGGGGGGGAAACGTCGACCTGGAAGCGGCGATACGTCACCGACAGGTCGGCGGTGGGCCTCCTATATAGCACATCCGCACGATCCTCGGCAGCGGAAGCCTATAGCGAGCCCCCCTCGGTGATGGATGGGCGACCCCCGTTGCTTGCCTGAGGGGGCCCAGGGACACACAAGCAAATACACACACACACAGATCCCCAGATCCCCCACATTTCCACACACACATTTCCTGGGCTTCGTCTCCACCCCCCATATCTTCTAGGGAATCGACGATTTGAAGGGGCCCTGGGACACGCACATATAAATAGACTCAAATAACAGGATTCCCCACATCTTCCCACATCTTCTGGGCTCTCGCCTTCCCCCCCACATGGCCCCATTTTTTCTGAGGAAATCGACGACAGATGGTGTCTGTGTTTGTGCGTGTGTGCGTGTGCGTGTGTGAGTGCGTGGGTGCGTGTGTGTGCATGTGTGCATGTGTGCGTGTGTGCGTGTGTGCGTGCGTGTGTGTGTGTGTGTGTGGCTGTGTGTGTGTCTGTGCGTGTGTGTCTGTGCGTGTGTGTGTGTGCGTGTGTGTGTGTGTGTGTGTGCGTGCGTGCGTGCGTGTGTGTGTGTGCGTGTGTGTGTGTGTGTGCGTGTGTGTGCGTGTGTGCGTGTGTGCGTGTGTGCGTGTGTGCGTGTGTGCGTGTGTGCGTGTGTGCGTGTGTGCGTGTGTGCGTGTGTGCGTGTGTGCGTGTGTGCGTGTGTGTGTGCGTTTGTGCGCGTGCGCGCGTGTGCGCGCGTGTGTGTGTGTTTGTGTGTGTGTGTCTGCGTGCGTGCGTGCGTGCGCGCGTGTGCGTGTGTGTGTGTGTGTGTGTGCGTGTGTGCGTGTGTGTGTGTGCGTGTGTGCGTGTGTGCGTGCGTGCGTGCGCGTGTTTGTGTGTGTGTCTATGAGTGTGTGTGTCTATGAGTGTGCGTGTGTGCGTGTGTGTGCGTGCGTTTGTGCGCGTGCGCGCGTGTGCGCGCGTGTGTGTGTGTGTGTGTGCGTGCGTGCGTGCGTGCGTGCGTGCGTGCGTGCGTGCGTGCGTGCGTGCGTGCGTGCGTGCGTGTCTGTGCCTGCGTGCGTGCGTGTCTGTGTGTGTGTCTGTGTGCGTGCGTGCGTGTGTGCGTGCGTGTCTGTGCGTGTGTGCGTGCGTGCGTGCGTCTGCGTGTCTGCGTTTTTCCCTTCTGATTGCCGCCCATCCGCGTCCTGCGTGGCTTCCGGGCCACAGCTGGGCCCTGCGGCGGCCTGCCTCGGGTGCTGCCAGACGCACCCCAATGGCCCACGGCGCCCCCCGCTTCTCGCACTGCTGAAGGGGCCCCTGGGACACACAGATAAACACGCACAAATGACAGGGTTCCCCATATTTTCCCTGATTTTCTGGGTTTTGTCATCCCCCCCACTTCCCATCTCTTCCCATCCTTTCCTGGGAGTCGACGATGGACTGTATCTGGGTGCTTTTTTCCCTCCCGAACTGCCTCTGAGCCCCTGGGGCCCTCTGGGCCTCGCGAGGGGTGCCCTGGAGGCCGCCCAGGTCATCCCGAGAATCCTGTGGCCGCCTTGGGCCAGGGGCACTTCTAGCAACACTTGGGAGTCCCGAAACAGTGCGGTGACAGACCGTGCGGTAAAACCTCGAAATCCCCCAAGACCTCACCGCACGGTCCGTCACCGCACGGTCTTGGGACCTCGGAGGCCCCTGTCGCCCGAGACGTCCTCGGAGAACGACCCGAGCCCCAAAACCGCGCGGTGACCCCGAAATCCCCACCGACTCACCGCACGGTGTGGTCACCGCACCGTTTGGGGGCCCCCGAAACACCCGACTGCCGGGGCTCTCTGGGCAGTCCCGGGGGACCACTCTCGGCGACCCGGGCGCCGCCGCCGGAGATCGCAGCCCCTTGGCGAGGGGCGCCGCGGAGAGCCCCCGACGAGCACACGCCCGGAGGCCTCGGGATTGTTCCTCGAGCCCGCCCGCCCCCGGACCCCTCCGGCAGGGGCTCGACCACGGGGAACCTCCCGCGAGAGACCCGACCCCGAGGCCCTCGAGACGCCCACAAGAGGCCCTCGAGACGCCCAAAAGAGGCCTTCCACAGGCACCCACGAAGCTCCTCGAGTGACCGCAAAGAGGGGTCCCAGGCCTCTGGTCCATGACCTGGGCATGGGCCGATTGCTACTACAGGGCTGGACCCTAAACGGTGTTTTGGCGATTTCGTGGGCCGTTTTCGTTTCGACTTCGTTTTGCGGTAGAGGTGGATTGAAGACAAAACGAGGGAAAACGAAAACAAAACGAACACGAAAAACACCGTTTAGGTTCAGCCCTCTGCTACTAGATCCGCCGCCGCAACACGGTGGAGGCCAGTCCACAAGGAGCCTTCCACGAGAAACCCAGCCCTGAGTCCAGGACGTCCAGTGCCTTTCGGTGCGGGAGCGTCAGGCTTCGCACAGCAAAGCAATCAGGACCCCAGGCTCCACCCTGGAGGCAGGCAGGGTGCGTCTTGGCATGGGCTCTTCTACTGTGTGCCCCTCCTTCGCGTTGCCCCTGAGGGTCTCGGTCACCGACGCCCGATCATCGCGTCGCTGGGGGCGGCCCGAAAGGGGGCCAGAGCAGGCGGGGCCCGAACATCGCACCGCGTTGCCTCCTCGATCTCGCCCTTCCTCTCTTCAGCTTCCTCCTCCTCCTCCTCCTCCTCCTCCTCCTCAACCTCGTCCTCGTTCTCCTCATCCTCCTCCTCCTCCTCCACCTCGTCCTCCTCCTACTTCTCCTCCTCCTTCTGCTCCTCCTCCTCCTCCTCCTCCTCCTCCATTCCTCCTCCGTCAAAGGAACTCTTCCCTGTGGCAACCCGAGGCCGGTCGACACCGCTGGCCAGGCGTTTCGCCTGAGACTTCCAAACCACCTATGACCCAGAATCTCAAAATGTGCAACATGTTAACGGATGGAAGGAGTGTCGTTTTCAAAATGTGTTTTTCGCATTTGCGCCGCGCACACCCGTCTTAAAAATGCGCAAGGGTTTTGTATATGGAAGACGGCCCGTATTCGAAATGTGGTTTCCGCCCGCGCGCAGCGCGCATCCGTTCTAAAATGTTGCCCAAATTTCACGGATGGAAGGCGAGTCGTTTTAAAAAGGGGGCTCTCGCATTAGCGCCACGTAGATTCGTTCTAAAACCTGCGAATGATTCACACATAGAGGGTGGGTCGTTTTCAACATGTGGCCGTCGTTTTAGCGTCACGCACACTCGTCATACAAAATATCGGGCGTTTCGCACATGGAGGGCGTTTCCTTGAAGGCCGCGCAAATTTTCTTAACAGCTTACAACAATGTCAAGCATGTGCTATTCATGGTTCACGTCCCACAAGCGGTGCTTTGGCACGACGTCGGGATGACAAGGAGCAACAGTTACATCGTCTCGTGGCGTTGGAGCCCCAAGAGAAGTGTTCCATCACGGTTCAGGATCGTCAAGCCACAACAGTCATGGATATTCGCGGCGTTGACATCCCAAGAATGGTGTTCTGGAACACTTTGATGTTTTCGAACGTTTGATTTCCAGCGGGGCCCTTCCTCCACATGTTCTAATCCTTTGGAGGGGCTTATGACGAAGGAACTTAGAGGGATGGTTTATAGCAAGGCGGTGGTAAATCTTGGTTTTTTTTAAACTGTAAACCACCTCCATACGCCATAAAAAAACAACAGTGGAAACATACTTCCGTTTCGACGGCCTTATTGACGGACTTGGGTCCTACCGACTGTGAACCAATATTTCTCCGCGGCACCCGCTGCGCAACAACGACGACGACGACGACGACGACGACGACGACGACGGCGACGACGACGACGACTACAAGTACGACTGCGACTACGACCACGATACGATCACGGCTGCAGCTACGTCTGCGAATATTTCGCGGCCGCGACTACGAGTACGACTACGACCACGACTACGATTACGAAAACTTGCGAATCAAATCGATGTACATCCCTAGTGCAATCTGCATGAACAAATGTTCACGCATCCTCTCGGGTTTCAAATTCTCCCGCTCGCGCGCAAGCGAGCTGTCTCCGTGCGGGGCCGCGGCGCCGCGCGCGCGGAACGGCCCAAAATGGGCAGGCCCGCCCCGCGCGCCCGAGCCGGGGCGCCGCCTCAGGCGGTGGAGTCCGCCTGGTCGCCGTAAACGGCGATGCAGCGCCACATCAGCCAAGATGAGGGAGAGGAGGGAGGGGGGCTGAGAAGCTGCAGAGACAGCAAGAGCGCGGGTCGCAAGGAGAATAGAGAGGAGCATTCTCCCGCTCGCGCGCAAGCGAGCTGTCTCCGCGCGGGGCCGCGGCGCCGCGCGCGCGGAACGGCCCAAAATGGGCAGGCCCGCCCCGCGCGCCCGAGCCGGGGCGCCGCCTCAGGCGGTGGAGTCCGCCTGGTCGCCGTAAACGGCGATGCAGCCATACCCATGCTCAAAGCCCTTGCGCAGTGACAAGGTTTCGGCGGGCGGCCGATAGACGGGTGGTCCATACAGCAGGGCCGACCCCTAGAAGGGAAGCGACAAGGACGTCGCGGGCGGGCAGCGACAGAGGTCGCAACTGACAGTACGACAGGCGACCTGAGCACAAAGGGGGCTCAGGGAGAGCGGACAGCTCGTAGGGGGGCGAGAAGGCCGTTTAGACGATCAGCACGCCAATAGCCGAAAGCAAATAGTTTCACCGAGTACGGAAGCCGCAACGCGCGCAGGGCGGGAGCGGATCGGTGACGTCCAAATGCTTACCCCCCTGCTCTGGCCGACGCAGCGTCGTCGGCTGAATAATCTGGCCGCTACTTAAGCCAGTGTCGTGAAACGTGGCTCCCCTGCTGAAGCGCCAGAAGGATGCACTCGAGGACCAGATTCAGGGTCGTCTGGGGAGCCTCGGCGCACGCTCCCATGACGTCCCCTGCGGCCACCTTGGCGAAGCTTGCGCCTTGCCGAAGCGCCAAAATGAGGCGCTCGAGGGCCCGATTCAGGGTCGTCTGGGGAGCCTCGGCGCACGCTCCCATGACGTCCCCTGCGGCCACTTCGGCGGAGCTTGCGCCCTGCTCGAGCGCCATAAGGAGGCACTCGAGGGCCAGATGCAGGGTCCTCTGGGGAGCCTCGGCGCAAGCTCCCCTGACGTCACCTGCGGCCACCTCGGCGGAGCCTGCGCCCTCATCGAGACTGGCCAACCCCAGGGGCGGCAGGATGCTCGGGGAGAGAGCAGCGGGCGGCTGCGTCGAGGCGCCACTGCCCCGCCTGTTCCCCCAAGCCGCTACTAGGGCGGAGGCAGGAACCAGAGCGCAGGTCTGGACGCGTTGAGGGGGCCCAGGGGCCCTGGCCAAGATGGCCTCGACGGTCGGCGCCTGCAGGCCCAGGCGCGCCGCTTCGTCGGCGGACAGGTGAGGGAAGTTCAGACGCGGAACGCGGGAATCCGAGATAGGGGACAGTGGGGCCGCACTCCCCTGAGTCAGAGTGGGCAAGGGCTGCTCGACGGCCTCGGAAGCCGTGCGCCGCGCTGCGAAGGCTGCAGCCGCGGCGCTCCCGGGGTCGCCGCTGTGGGTGCCGCTGGGATGCAGCTCGCGCCCCGAGTCCCGGCCAGGCGCGAGGCCGCTCGAAGACCCCCGTTCCTCGGCGGCACGCCCTCCGCCCTGCGGGGCCGCAGCAGCATCGCTGGAGGAGCGCGTGCCCACCGAGGACGGGGGGGCCTGAGCAGCGGGGCCCGCGCGGTAGCTGCCTGCGTGGGCGCCGCCCGAGCTCGCACCCTGGCGGGGCGCGGCCTGCCGAGGCGCCGTAGCTGGGCTCGGGCGCCGCTTCGGAGCGACCCGAGGGGCGCGCGCCTCGCGACGCCGAGGCGACGTCACCTGTCGCGAGGGCGCGCGGGGGGAGCCGCGGGCGCCCCTGGAGCGCGACGCCTCTCGCCTGTCTGAAGGGCGAGGGGGCGGAGGCGGCGGCGGGAGCAAGGGCCGCGGAGGCTCGGAGCCTACGCGCGGACCGCGGCCCCGAGAGCGGCTGCGAGCCGAGGCGCGAGCGGCGGGCGGGGGGCCCCCCGAGCGGCGAGGAGGGTGCCCCCTGTTACCGCGCTGCTGCCTGCCCCCGTGGCTGCGGGGAGAACCCCTCCTGCTGCCGGAGCGCTCATGAGAGCGGGAGCGCTCGTCGCGGGGTCCTCGTTCAGCCGAGCCACCAGGGAAAACCGTCTGCAGGCGGCGGAGGACCTCGGGGTTCATGCCCGCCACGACGCGCTCAAGGTCCATCGAAGAGTCCGCGAGGGCGCTCAGAGAGGCGAGCGCGCCCTCTTGCAGAAGGGCGTCGTCGGAGTCGAACGCCTCGTCCTCGTCGCACGCGGGCTCCGCTCTCGAACGGCTGCGAACGCTCGCGGGCGGTGACCCGTCGGGCGAGCGCGGGGGGCACCTCGGGGCTCTGGCGTGGGGGCCCTCCGGTGCCACTCCCGCGGGCGGCTCCGACGGCTCCTCGGGCGAGAGCGGGCCGTCGACGGGAGGCGAAGAGCCGCCCCCCGAGGGAGAGGTGTGGTCCCTCCCGTACGGGTTTGGAGACCGCGTACGGCCGCGGGCAGCGCTGGGGCTCCGCTGTGGGGAGCCCACTCCCGCGGCGGAGCTGGGGCGTGCCACGCCTGCCCAGCGGCGCGCATTGGCTGTGCGACGCGCCCTGCGGCCAGGCGCCGTGGCGGCTCCCCCCTCAGGGGCGGGGAGCGCCGCCATCGAAGCCCGCCGTTGCCTGGCGGCGCGCCTGGTGCGCGCGGCGCCCGTGCGCGAGGCGGAGTGCGGCGCGTGACCACCGCGGTTGGGCTGGTCCTCGACCGCCTCATCCCGCGGGCCCGGGCGGGCGCGGACTGCGCGCCGCTCACGGAGGCTGAAGCGGGACGCAGGGTCGTCGGCGGGCCGCGCCAGGGCGCGCGGATCCTCGGCCTCCACCTCGGCCAAGGAGCGGCCAGTAGACGACGCGGGTGCGTCCCCACCGCGAGCGGCGCGCTCCTCGTTGGCGAGGCCCGTCTTGACCTCAGCGTTGTGCAGGACGGCACGCGTGTTCTGCGGGAGGGGCCCCTCGGCGGGCGCCCTGGCCAACGGCCTCGGCCCAAGCGGAAGCCTGGACGGCTGGCTCGCCTGCGGAGGCGCGAGCACGGCGGACGCCGACTGATGCGCCGCCGCCTTCAGCAGCAGGGACTTCGCGTCGCACAAGTCCTTCCACCGCTGGACGCGGGCGACCGCTTCGGCAGCTGTCAACCCCGCGGGTGCCTTGTCGGGACGGCACGGGACCGAGAGGCGCCGGAACGAGCCCTCGATCGCGTCCCTGTGGGCGCCCTCCGCGACCCCGAGCACTTGGCGGGCTCGGCCCAGGCGGGCGGCGCGCTGGAAGGCGTGAGGTGTCGCGGCCTCGCGGCCCGTCGGGAAGTCGCGCCCAACTGTGCGAGCTTGGCCACCCCCGACGGCAGGCTGGGGGGCCGACCGCGTCTTGGGACGCGCGTCGGGGGCCGACGAGAGCGCGGGGGGAGCAACAAGGCGGGCTGCCCCCTCCGCGCAGCTGCCGGGACCCTCGTCGCGCGGCTGGAACAGCGCGTTCCGCGGCCCCACACGGGGGCCGAG